GTAAACTGGAATGCCAACTTCTGATTGGCTGTTATATTGATTTTGAAGTATTACAATCTACTTTTGGCATGTTTAATAGATTTGCGTTCCCGAACTTTTCAAATTATTTTGTACTCTGAGGGCGATTTTGAAATGGTTTCCCTTTTACTAGCTTTACTATTAAAAGTACTGGAACAGACCAATTGCTAGGATTTTTTTATTAGGGTAGCCCTATATAACGGTACCCCTAATATTCGATATTTAAAAGCTTTTGGGCACGTATTTCAACCAGATTTAATGTAATTTGATATTTTGAATTATCCAGAGGTAGGAAATCTTCCTATCAAAAATTATTCTATATTATGGATTCTAATAGGCAGGGATGGTCCGTGTGACGAATTTTTAGGCTTTCGACTGTCAAAAAGATGTAAACGTCGAAAACGTCATATAACTGTATAAAATGTAATAAATGTAGTAAACATCATTTATTTGAATATTATTAACATATACAGTTATTTTCAAGAATATATATTATTTTTACATATATCTGACTATTTTGACTACAGCTATTTGGAGAAGAATATGTTGAAATTTCATGTGGTAATTTCCAAATTGATTAATGGAAATAGCTTTTTTGTCAAAAAAATAAAGGTTTTGTGTGTATTATACGTCGGAAATTTGTGGCATTTACGTCACTGTTTCTGACGGACCATCTCTGCTAATAAGGTTTAAAATATTACCATTAAAAAGTAATGGCCCACATTTTGGTATTGCCTCCATATACAAGCCTAGTTTGGGGGAACTGTAATTTTACATTGATTCTGAAGTGGCTATAATTTGGCTTTCAGTATTCGCAGCAAAAAAATAATTCCTTTTTTTCGAAGCAGTGTTTTTCGAATGGCGGGTACGATAACTCAAAAACTAATAATCCAATCGGTTTCAAATTTTGACACGTTTCTCTGGACCAATCGGTCAAGATCTTCATTTATTTTTTAACTTAGTTTGTGGTCAAAAATAATCGATTTTCAAAAAAAAAAAAAAAAATGCAAAGTTCCTCCATTTTGTTAATTGTTGTTAATTGTTGTATGAGAGCCAGACATGTACTCTTTCTAACACCGTTGGAATTTTCGGATTCCAATGATCCAGTGAGGAGTTATCAAGCCCGCCCTTAATACAGTTTTATTCAACTGATGATGATCAGTCGCGAGATCAGAAACTATAGTCTGTCTTACCCCTTGGTGGTTAATGCCACAGTTTTACAGGGAAGGTGATTAAACGATTTGGCCTATATTTCAAAATATTTATTTAAAACCATTCTTCACACAATATATGATGTCTCGATTAACTGTCAAAGTGCGTAATTTCTATTTGAATTCGATGTGCAATGTTGTCAACCATGTGAAATATTATAAGAAAAAAATGATAGATCGTCGAGACATAAACAAAGGCTTTTGTTTGCTGCATCATGGTTGTAGGCTTATCAACTACAATCAGAGTTATATTAAGATGCAACGTTCGTAGGCCGTACAACCCTGAGATATTTATCAATTGTCTAAACGATTTCGATGAATTCTCTTCTGTAACTTGAATCTGCAATTATTATCGCATTAAACACTGAGACGTGTATTTTCATTCAACTTCAATTCTCTTGTTATTTGGTTATAATAATTCTACGAACAGTTGTGTTTTGTTTGTTTATTTCAAAGATTACTGTTACAAAGTGCCAATTGTTCGGTCAAATATGAATATTTATTTCAAAGTATAAACAAAATTTTGAATGTGCCGTACAAATTTTTAATGTAATGTACAAAATGTTTAAAGCGGTACCGATTTTAAAAGCCAAACTTATAAACACTAGATGCGTCAACTTTGTAATTCCATGCAAGGCATTGGACAATCAGTTTGCTCTAAACTGGAAAATGGAGTGCAAAACACTTAAGCATGCAGCCGAAACTAAGATAAATATTGCTGCAAAAGAATTCAACAAGAATACATACTGATTACAAGTTTTTTTCAACGTGTTGTGATCTATCCCAGTAGTTCCAGTAACTGCTTATGAACTATATATTTTACTAATTACATGTAACTACCACTAGTTACATCATGCCCTTGACTGGTGACCAGTATACATCCATTTCGGTAGTACATTTGACTAGTGGCTTATAGTCAGCTACTTGGGTAGATACAAAGTATAAACCAAATGCCTAGTTACGTACATATATATATATATAACAAATTAAAAAAATATATATATTATAAAAATAATTCTGTACACGTTGATGTTTATTATAATATAATATTGATATTTATTGTAATTAGTATTGTACACCCTAGTGCTTTTCAAATCTAAATCTAAAAACAGATTTAGAAATAACTAAAGATAGATTTATATATGAAGGCCTTCTTGTCATCGAAAACTCAACTATAGAAAATCGGTAGATTATCTCTGGAGCATTTATTGGTGTGTTGAAGACCTCTATGGAGCGATATTTCGTTCGAATATTGAATTTTAAGTTCAAGTTCATCACTTTATATGGTATATCACAAGCATTTTTGTGCGAAAACAAATTTCTAATAGACTTTTGCTTTTAAATATCCGAAAATTACTAAAAAGTCTAAATGAGAAAACAATGTTTCTGTTTTGTTTTGCCTTCAAAAATGTATTCTATAAAAGTGTAGATTCATTACCCTTTGCATTACCAATAACTACTGAATTGGAATGATATACCTAGAAAACGTTTTCAATCGACAAATAAATCAAACAACCTTTTTTGTGTTCCATTTTTGGATATAAAATAACTAAATAAATAGCTATGTAACTATGTAATAGAAGATAATTGATATTTTTTGAACAACTGGGATAAAGTCAAAAAACATATTTTGTGTGTGTGTGTGTATAGTCAAATAAATTAAAATTAAAATTAAATTGAAATATATTCTATTTTATATGAAATGAAAATGATTTTCTACCATGTTCATCTGAATGTAATGGACGAAACAAACATTTCATGGTATCCCCATGAAATGCTTTTTGGGAGGAGCTCATTCATTATTCGCGTTTTTAGTTATGTGTTGAAAATGTCAAATAAGCACAACCACTTATTGCGTATATTTATAGGTGTGTCTGGTTACTTTTCCAGTAACATTTATTCAGTAAGTTCTAGTTCAGAGAGTAAGCCGTTTTTAGTCTCTTTGGCTCCTTTACTGAGAAAAGTAAACAGATAACATTTTGTAAGATTTAGCAAATAAACAGCTGATTCAAGAAAACATTTGATTTGCGCCAAAATAAACAAAGGACAGAGAGTAAGCCGTTTTTAGTCTCTTTGGCTCCTTTACTGAGAAAAGTAAACAGATAACATTTTGTAAGATTTAGCAAATAAACAGCTGATTCAAGAAAACATTTGATTTGCGCCAAAATAAACAAAGGACAAACACAGTTATTTGTATTGAATTTAATATTAAAAATAAAATGAACAATAAAAGAAAAATTGATTTGGTATGTTCCCCGGGAACATTTAAGCTTCCTGCACCAATACATTGCCCTCTATCTGGAACTTTCCTAAAAATATATAAGGAATTAGTTTCTAATTTAATGAAACTTTGCATTACTTACGAATTTTCTTCCATTTTCAGTAATTTTTATACAACTTAACTTCAAATTGAACTTTGCAAATTAAAAAAATGTTTTGAATAATTTTTGTGTTTGGTCATAAAACAGCTGATCCAAAAACGCTGAGTTTGCAAAATCTTACTGAATAAAATTCTTTCAGTAAACTCCAGTAAGTTTGTTGTTGTTGAACTGTGAAACTTGCTCTCTCACTTGACTCTCTTTTACTGGATTTTTGGGTAAGCAGACAACATTTAGTAACATTTGGTAACAACTGTTACCAAATATCGAGTAAACAGACAGAGCTTATGTTATATTTGACAGAAGAAGCCACAACCTATATATTGTCCTATCTTGTATTATTGTACCAGGGTATATAATACTAACGATGAGTCATATGCAGTTGTTGTTGCTGCTGTATCAATAAAATCTTTTAAAAGCATTACCAAAAACTATCTGTGTTTTAGAAAGTCGTGAATTTACTTCAGCCTGGACGATTTTTTATACTGACATTCATTGGAATGAAAATTACAACCACACTAACCTAAATGTGGACCAATATTGATTGCCTCCCAATCGGAACCCAAAGAGTCAAACTATAATCAATTCGTTTTGAAAACGTTCACAAATCCAGTGGATTATATTTGACGTATACACTATGGAAGTGACATTTGAGATCGAATGGAGTTTGTAAATCTGAACGCACTTTTACCTATTTTTTAGATAATTGCGTTAAGACTCTAAATAGGCATATTTGGCTGTTCTCAAATAATAACGACAAAAGCACAACTCCGTCATTTACACGATACAAATCGAGGGCGGAATAATCGATAACTATGAGATGATACAACTCACGTTCTTCCGCTTAGGAATTTCGTTTAAAAAGAACGTTGACTGTTATAGTTGCCGTCAAATTTTAAATAATTCTCGAAGAGGTTAAAACTTTGCTCTTTGGTCGTACGTTTGATCCGGAGAGCGAAGCAATCCATGAATGAACTATTAGGGTCTGAAGTAACCCCTTGCCCCTTGATTAGAACCCCTAACTACAAAGCGATTGTTGGCAATAGAATGGCATACGTGTAGTGTAATAATGGAGTCAGAGTGCGCACACACACTCACTCACGCACAGAATTCACACCTAGTCTCCAAATGTTTGGCTAAACAATGAAACGTGCTTCTTTATCGAACTTCCGTTCAGAATTGAGAGTCTTTTTTGCTCCGCCAGCTCGTGCATTTTGTAGAGCTTATAAAACGTCTGCTTTTGCCATAAACTTAGTTTAGACTGCTGCTAGTAACGACTTGTTAACATACCTCGTTTCTTTAGTTCTTGGCCATTGTTAGTTGTTATCGGTCATTCTTTGCGTTAAGTTTTTTGTCTTCTTGGCTATTGTAAACTATTTATGGAACGTGCAAAATGCAGCTAACAAAGGTAAGTAGATCTACTACAGCTCAACATAATGCGATAGAGGAAATTGATTTGTTGACTAAATTTCCAGAAAAGTACCGAACTAATTTTGGCAGCGACGTTTTGTCTATTGACGGTCACACCGACTGGGGCATATCCCAGCAGTTGTTTCGAATGTGAAGAGGAAGTATGGGAGGAAGTGCCATGCGATGAAATTCCAACGAATAGTACCACAACCTATCCAACCACGCCCTATGTTACCACCAGTACACCTAAAACGGAAACTACAACTACTTCGACCACTACGACTACAACTCCTTATCCGGCTACAACGACAGCGTCGGACACTGATCCCTATAAAAAGTGCTACTGTGAATGTAAAACCGGTTGCAAGGAGTTCTGTCGCAAAGTTATTCACAATCCACAAAGTAAAAGTCAAATAATCCAGATAACGGAGGTATCTAAGCCCTTGCCTCAAGGCCGTATTGAGTCGACGTATTATCATAGCAGGAAATTAGTTCCCGCTGTACCATACCCACACCCCCATCCACCACCGTCGTATGAGCATCCTGAAGTTTATGAAGCTCCTCCAAGTGTTCGTGCACAAAAGCCACTAGCCGAAGTGTATAATTCGGTTCCTTACTATAGTAGCTCAGTTTCGGAACCCCACAATTATGGCCGTGACTTGAGCAACGCCTATAACGACAATAAATATTTGCCAAACCTCTCATATCGTAATAAACACGAAACCTATTATTACTCATCGCCTGAAACGGACCTGTCCGACTTGCCGTCACACTTTCAGAAATTATACTCGCAGGCAATCCAAGATTTGGAAAATGAGAATTACAAACCCAACAGTATACCCAAATTACCGGACTACAACTCGCATCCGTGTCAAGAAGCTGGCAAATTTTCATCGCCAGTTCCAGTTGACAGTGTGAGGTACTCCGACAAATATTATGACTCGCTTTATTCCAATTCCGATACATACGCCTATTACGATGACTTTGGAACGATTGCAGAAAATCCACATCATTCTTTACTGTACAAGTGATATATGTATAGCAGTAGTACCTTATGAAACCTTAACGATAGTTTACTAATATTTATTAAAAAAAAATACTAATTTTAAGAAGATGTTAATAAAATGTACATAATAATTGTTATCATTGTCGTTTTGTGGTTTTTAAAAACTTAAAAAAAATAGGCTTCTTTGATATGGAACTTATACCAAAAGTTGGAATGACACATATGGGAAATTACAAAATTCTTTTAAAATTCCATAAAAAATGTCGATTTTTTTTTCTTTTGAAGCACATTCATGATTTTTGCTATATAGGTTAAGGAAAATATGCTGATTCGAAATCTGTTCGGATGCTGCGCACAAAAGTTATAGCGTTTTAAATCGTGTATTTCAAATATAAATTAATTCCTATTTGTTGAAATTTGCGAATTGCTTCACAAATGGTTAAACACATTTGTTTTCTTTGCATACTAGTCAAATCAAATTGAAATACGATTTAATAGTCGCGAAAAACAAATAAAAGCATGAAAATATCTGAAAATAAAATAAATTTATTTTTCAATTGCCATACATTTTTTTCAATTTTTTATTTCTTTGTATGGTAAAGGGGATACTGCTTCGTCTAGATCTTCTGAAACATGTGACGATTACTTTTACAAATTCTTTTAGATGATTGTTAAATATCGGTAGATTCCTCAGTTAAGAGTTTTGACTTTAAAAATTACCAAATATATTTTTCATTACAATAGATAAAAATAATCAATATTATAAAGTATAAAGTTCGCGTATTCGTTGCAATCAGTTGATGCGCATGCAGTTTTCGTATAAAACGATTCAATCTCCTCCAATAATTATGATTTTTTTCCGGGTTTAGCCACAAATCAGGAAGGAACACAAAAAAACTTGTTGGCTTCAACACATTTGCACCCATTTTTTTACATTACCACCATCACAGCTTTCACATAACTAATTATTTATTACCAATATTCCAAGATTTCGACAAGAACACTTTATTTTAAAGAAATGAATATAAGTTATATGCAATGTGTTCATAATTCGCGAGTTACAACCTTGCAAACTTCAGTTTCAAGGAATTTTTGTAACATTTTTGTAATTTCCCATATATAGTTGGATCTTGAAATTTTACATGGTATACAGGATGGGAAGTGGTTTCTCGGTTTCAAAAAATTCAATTTTGTATTTTGATTTGATTCGAATCTACATTAATTCAAGAAAGTCCCTACGAAATTTCAAGTGATAATCTCAATCAAATCTCTCTCAAAATATAGCCCATTTATTTTGCTAGCATCAAGTGACGACAAGAGGGCTTCTCAAACTTTAAACGTGATAGGTTTAAAAAACGATACTTATGTGTACAAAAGTACTAAATGGTACTCAATTTGGTACTAGATGGTTTTATGTGAACAGATAAAGCTGGACTCTGGAATTGGGAATTAAAATAACTGTTGGAGTGTAGGATTGAGGTAGTTTAGGAAATTCGTGCTTATGAGTACGAAAAGTACTAAATGGTACTAAATTTAGTACAATTTGGATTTTGAGGGACGGATAGAGCTGAAAACCTGAAATGTTGAGGACTGAACTATGGAGACAGGTTTGGGAAATCGTAGTTATGTGTACGAAAAGTACTAAACAGCACTAGATTTGGTACAATTTAGATTTGTGTGAACGGAAAGAGCTGGAACCCTAAAATTTGGAATAATGGTTGCTGTTGGAGCGTAGAATTCAGATATGGAAGTATATTATTTATGTGTACTAATAGGTGTTATGTGTACTAATATTTGGTTCAACTTGATTATATGTCAAAGGATAGAGCTGAACTCCAGAATTTTGGAATTAATGTTACTTTTGAAGTGTAGGATTGAAGTACTTTAGGAAATTCGTACTCCTGAGCACGAAATGACCTAAATAGTACTTAAAATTGTACAATTTGGATTCATGTGAAGGGTAGAGCTGGAATTCTGAAAGTTTTGCAAAGTTGAGGTTTTGAAGGTGCTTAATAATTTTAAATTTCGTATAATAGTTGTTCACGAAGCGAACATGGTTTTAAAATAATAAAGATAGTGAATATCTTGCTTTGGGTCTCTTGTGTAAGAGAGAGAACATTTAGTTAAACAGGGATCTATTTTTGTATACAGTCCACTTAAGATAAGAGCATTTTCTTGTCGAATATTTGTATACTAGAATAAGATAGGAGTTTTCTATTGCCACATGTGGTATGTTTGGGTGAGATTACGGAGAGTAATCTTCACTACAGACTGATAAGCATGTGTAGCGTGCTTGCCACATGTGAGATAAAGAAATGTGTGTGTCCACTCCATGTGTGATGGCAGATGCACTCTCTCTCTCTCTTTTACACATTAGTCTAAGATAGGTTAAGTCATATTGTAATACTTAGTTCTTAAGAATCACTTTTTATTTGAATAAATAGTGTGTAAATGCACCACAAACAATACAGAAGTGCTTTCACTCCGCGGACAGTATCCGCGTAAGATCCCTACTTTTTCATTGGTCCTTCGAGCCGGATCAGTGACCGATTGTGGAGAAAATTGATGCTGAAGAATTTCCCTTAAAGGTCAAGGAAATTCTCTCAGCTTGGAGGAAATCCAAATAGAAAAAAAATTAATGGAAAACAGAATCCCGAGTCAAAAGGAGACTGCGGTGAGGAAAATGGCGGTGACGGCGAGACATTTAGCCAGTGAAGCTTCAAGTCTGGGCATAGCGGCTACAGATGAAGATAAGCTAGGCAGAGCCTCGGCACCGACCCTGGAGTGGGAGATAAACAATCTCCTAAATAATATTAACATGTTCGCAGAGAATATCGATCGACTAGATGCGACTGTGGTACCGAGCCTGTATGACTTCATAGAAAGTCTAGTGAGGGACGCATCCGATGAAGTAAAACGCGATCCGGTGGTGCGGGATCGGTGGATGGAGATATTAGAGAAGAAATCCAATATGGCAGGAGGTTTTAGGCCAGTCCAAGAACAAATGGACAGCCTTCAAAGAGCATTGGAGGAGAAAAGCCGTGACGTGGCGGAGTTACGGGCAAGGAATAAAGAGCTAGAAGTTGCTCTAAAAAGATCGGAAGACGCCAATGGTTGCCTTCAAGAAAGGGCACAGGCTAGTTATAAAAAAAGGCAAGAGATATGTACATTGACTTGTCCTTTCAAGAGATCAAACTTAAAGGTGAATTGGTGGCGGCTGCAGAGAAAGCCCAGGCAGCAGAAAAATCCTGGGAAGAAGAGAAAAGGAATCTGTTGAATGAACTGGATCTTTCGGAGAAGAACCGTCGATTAGCAGAGGCAGAACGTGACCACTTGGCCATACGAATGGTTGCCAATACCAATAAGCAGCGGCAAGAAATAGCTCCAGACGGACATGGAAAAGAACGATGGAGTGGCTGATGCGGAGATACCTGTTATGGAACAGGGTTCGGATGTGACGATGAATCCGATGAAAAAGCAAAGCAAAGAGGGAATATATACTAAGAAGAAGAAGCCGCCAGTGGATAATTGTTTTGCCGATATGAAGGTAAAGCCGACGGACAATGACTGTTACCCCACAGCAACAAATGATTGGGCTGTGAGCCGTTGGTTATTAATGTTCCGACGAGGAAAATTACGGCTAGAAATGCAGATATGAAGATGAAGCAGGCGGACAATTGCGAGGAACCGACAACACAAGATGATTGGAACGGTAAGCGAAAGCCGAAAATTATGAATCTTCCGGCCAGGAAGATTGTCGATATAAATCGTGGAAAGGCGCCCGGGAAGTTGGATCCAGCAGTCTCATGCCATACTCAGCCAACGTTAGATGCTGCACTACGTAATAAAGATGACGTTCTGCCGAAGAGGATTGAATGTGGTGCCAAGAAAGATGGTAAAGCAGAAGGGGAAGGTTGTCCCAACAAAACGAAGTCTGCGGTCAGAAGCGGTAATAAGCTGAATAATGAAGCCGCGGCTATGATGAGGTTGGCGAATGGCGAAGCCTGGTTTTAAAATAATAAAGATAGTGAATATCTTGCTTTGGGTCTCTTGTGTAAGAGAGAGAACATTTAGTTAAACAGGGATCTATTTTTGTATACAGTCCACTTAAGATAAGAGCATTTTCTTGTTGAATATTTGTACACTAGAATAAGATAGGAGTTTTCTATTGCCACATGTGGTATGTTTGGGTGAGATTACGGAGAGTAATCTTCACTACAGACTGATAAGCATGTGTAGCGTGCTTGCCACATGTGAGATAAAGAAATGTGTGTGTCCACTCCATGTGTGATGGCAGAGGCACTTTCTCTCTCTCTCTCTCTTTTACACATTAGTCTAAGATAGGTTAAGTCATATTGTAATAGTTAGTTCTTAAGAATCGCTTTTTATTTGAATAAATAGTGTGTAAATGCACCACAAACAATACATACGTGCTATCACTCCGCGGGCAATATCCGCGTAATATCGATCAGATCCCTAGTTTTCCATAGTACAACATATTTTACAATTTGGATTTGTGTGGAAATTGCTGTTTGATTGTGCGCACTAAATGGTACTAAATTTGGTACAATTTGGATTTGAGTGAACGGATAGAGATGGACAACTTATATGTGGAATTAAAATTACTATTATGCCATGTACAGACGAGCGTTGTTCGACCCTTAATTTTTATATGTGACAGTATGTGACATTTGAATTGACAAAATCTATTAAAAACAACAAAATTTTCAGAAAAAAATGTAGTTAGTTCTGAGAGCGAACTACATTGTTCGAATGCTCGTCAGAACATGGTATTAGAGTACAGGATTGAGGTAGTGTTGGAAATTCGAACTTATAAGTACGAAAAGTACTAAATGTTATTAACACTAGAAAGACTGGAATTTTGTATATACCCATATTGCCTAAAATCGGTCAAAATGACCTCATTCTGAAAGAATTTTTATTGTGTAAAGGCATTTTTGAAACAACAGAAGCAGCTACTATGATTAATAAACGTAGTTCTATGTGGTACAAAAAGTCACCAAA